GAGCCCTTTAAAATAGATGAAGCTTGTTTCATTGAAATTATTCCTCAATTAAGTTAATGAAGAAAAATAAACATGTAGAGAGGACTCCACCAAAACATTTTTACATATCTCAAGGAGTTTTATGCAGAGTGTTTTGTTTTTCATATATATATCAACAAATATTTAGCCAGCCATAAAATCCCCTTCCCCAAACAGAGTGGTTGTCTGAAGTGCTATATTAGATGTGTATTTTAAAAATTACCCAATCTTTCTTGCTCCATTAATTTTACTCATTGACAGACTTTTATTGGTAGAACAGGGGGTCACAAATTTATTTTGTTCACAAAAACAAAAATTGCTACTTATGACAATTATAATAAATAATGGAAATAATGGAAACTATCAAAAGATCCCCAAAATAAACGAAAAAGAAAGTTTAGTAAAAGGAATATCTTGAGAGCCAGATCTTAGTACATAAGGGCAACAAATGTAGAATTGGATTTGGGGTTTGGGGTTCTTGGTTTCTGTAATTTGTATTCATCTTTGTCCCAATTTCTTAATGTAAACACTGAGATGATTTTTCTAAGTTCCTTCTGGCTCAGAAATTCTGTAGACCTAAAAACATTTAGTACAGATTATCAAAGAAAAAGAAAAATAAAAGAACAGTTGGAGGAAAGAAGAACTAATTAGCCAGCAAAATAAATAAATAAACTACTCCATCTGAATTTGAAGTTGGACTTGTGAAAACATGCAATGAAGTTTTTCAAAGAGGTAGGTGACATTCCACACCTACTCATAGCCATTCCAATCCCCACCCTCACTGGGAGCAGAGGAGGTTAGGCATGTATGCTAGATTTTCTCAGGGGCAAACCAAGCCTCTAAGCACTCTTTATGACCCTGTGGGCACTAACATTTGAGTCAAGGCCATGAGGTAAGAACTTGCTACTTGACCGGGTCACCAAGGTTGCTCGTTACTAAAACTGAATTTGAACTCACTTGCAGCATAATTTTCTTAGTATGCCCAAGCCATCTCTTTTTTTAAAAAAAAAAAAAAAGTCTAGGAATTTTTAAATAGGGAAAACATATTCTAGTTCCACCAAACATCTTGTAAGTGATCAGAAAACAGACTGAGATATAAATATGGTATAAGGTAAGACAACTTATTTGAAAATCAAAATTAAGTAATAATTAGTAACAGCTAAAATAATAGGTGAACATATTGACTATTCTTCATTTGAAAAAGAAAAAAAAAGGTATCAGTTTGTCAAATACGGATGGTCCCCGACCTGGTGCTGGTTCAATTTAAAAATTTTTCAACTTCACAATGATGCACAAGTGATACACATTCAATAGAATCTGTACTTGGAATACCGATACAATCATTCCGTTTGTCACTTTCAGTACACCACTCAATAAATTACATGAGATATTCAACATTGTATTATAAAATAGCTTTGTGTTAGATAATTTTGTCTGACTTTAGGCTAATATAAGTGTCTGAGCATATTTAATGTAGTTTAGGCTACGCTACCATGTTTGGTAGGTTAGTTGTATTAAATGCATTTTCAACTTACTATATTTTCAACTATGTGTGGATTTATCAGAACATAATCCCATTGTAAGTTTGGGAGCATCCATCCTAACATTTCCTAGAGAATTTTAAATATTCTTAATGGTTTTGTTTTAACTCTAATCACTGGCAGTATTTCTATACCAAAAGGTTCTTATTCTTTCTTTCACTCACTCACTGAAGTAATATTGTCTGTCCCTTTAAACTGGTATGTGGAGGCAGACATAAGGAAGAAAAAAATAGAGGTTCATAAAGCATTCAAAAGAAGCTCCTCATGGAGGAAGGTGTTTAAAAACCAGAAACATGGGCAGAAATGCTTTAATTTACAAAATAGATGTATTTCTGAAAAAATGTGTGAAGTAAGCATTCAATTATATAATATATTGAAGCAGAAAGCTCTGAAGTATACTGGGAGAAGGCACAGAATCAGAAGTCATGTTCTAGTTTCTAATCCTGGCTCTGCTTCATTAGCCTTATCCAAGTTACTTACACTCTCTGAACCTGTTTCCTCACCCAAAATATATGGGTAATTTTCTATCTGCTCCAAGTACTTCACCGGATTATGAGGATCAATCAATAATACAATTTTTGAAAAGTGTTATAATAAATAATTACTTGCCAAATAAAGAATGCTTTTCAAAAAAAAAGAAGAAAAGTATTTTTCACTTCAAAAAGCTTACAATCTTGAAAAGAAAAATAAGACATACTCAAACAACCATTAAAAACAGTAGAATGCTTTTACAAATAAGATGAATATAGTTTCAAAACTAATCACAGAAAAGAAAAAAACTATTTCAAAATTCAATTTATAAAATGTTTCAAAATATTTGGATAAGTTTAAGCTAATAAAATTAAGTACTACCAGCACTAATATATCAATGAGAAAATGAAATAAGGTAGAATAATTTTCTCAAAGTCAAATACTGGTACAGCTTGGAATTCCAGTACTATCTGAATCTGTAGTGCAATTTCATATGAGATCATTTACATGCAAACCAGATCAAACTTATTCAATGATCATATAAAAATAAATGCATTTAAACTTGAAATAGCAAATTATATACTACTGTTGATCTTAGCATTCTGGTTTTTATCTATTTCCTTGTTATCTACATATTTTCAATTTCACTTTTAGCTAATGTGGAATTTTATTTACTTTCCACTTTTAAAATAAATGCTTGAAATCTTTATTATGAGATTGCTAGTAAGGCATTTGTATATATTTAATCTAGAATTCGTTTAGAATCAAACATATGTGGAGTCATGTTGAGGGAATAGTCAACCATGGCAGAACTATTCTCAGATTTGGAAGAGGAAATAGATTTATCATGGATCCTGCTATGTAGGCATTGCTTAAGCAAATAAGTTATTTACTGATAGACAAGAAAAATACATTGTCTATGTTTTTAAATCATTATTTATATAAGTTATTTCAAAACTCATTTGATATGTTAACAATTTTCAGGTTACTTCCATTAAAAAAAAAAAAAAAAGCAAAAAGAATAGATAAAATGAAGGTCTGATAGCCCCCAATTTGAGATGACTAGATATTTTCCAACCAATTGATATTTATGTATGCTAGTTTATATGTGTGTTATCCAAAACTTAAAATCATAAATTAAGTTCTGCAATAGTTCTATTAGATGCAATATCCGGAAGCAAAATTTCATCAGATTTTAGTTAGATTTGCTAAATATTTTATAAATTTTCATTGGTTGACTTCTGTACACTATCTATTTCAATTCAATATGTATATTGTCAATTGCATTCAGTCATTTAAGACTCACCCATATGAGCTCTTGATGTTTTTATAAATTAATTTTTAAGAACTGGCTTGATTCCAAATAAACATTACAAGACAATGGTGGCAATGACAGCGACACCAGGTCTATGTATAACTTTGGCCTTTATACATTTGAAACAGATTTTAATTAGTACTCAGGAAATTCATCTCATGAATCTTGCCTCCTTTACTGGTGAACTTGGAAGCAATTGTAAGTGAAGGAGCAGAGGTTTATTATTTACTGAAAAAGGAAGCAAGTGTTTAGTCTGTGTGTGTACGATGCACTCATGAAAAATAACATCCAGAAAATTAGTATTGTGGAAGTCTGAAAATTATTCTAGCCAAATAATGACTATATACACATATGTATTTATTCATATATGTATATATGCACATATAAATTTACATATATGTGTGTGTATGTATGTATAAATGAATATGTATGGATTAGAGAAGTGGCATGACAAGTCATTTTCGAAGTTTTTAGTGCTCTACCAATTCTAAAGATATGAGGTATATTTCCCATAAAAGCATCAAACATCCTTACCAACTTGATGTGAACTCTAACGATTTCAACATACTTCTTAAATCAGTAAATTTTTGCCTTATGTGATAAATGTTTTTGTGTCTGTAAATGATGTTTCCATATAGCATTGCATATTTTTTCATAAAATTTTTACTTTTATTGGTACTAATGTGGATAACCTAGAGACAAATGTATTCGTTCACATTAAATGGGAATAATCATCCAGTTAAACCAAAAGGAACCCAATAAAACTGTGAATTCTTCAGATTTACTGTAATAAAAATCAAAACAAAATTGACAAATGAATTTCATTCTACTCAAACTTCCATAAGAAAAAAAGAAACATATTTAAATTAAATGTTATTTTCTCTTAACAGTCCCATACAATATAGATCTTCAAGAATATGTTTTCATTTCTTTGTTCATTGTAGCCATTCCTTCTAATAGCAACATATGTAACTACGGTGGAATGGTAAACTTAATGTTGCCAAATTTTCTTCCTACTTTATACAATGAAATGAATCCTGAGAAACCTCATGGTTGAAAAGCCTTAAAATAAGTAATACGGTAGGTACACATTCGGATTTCCTGACTGTATTTTACTTTACAGGTGATATTTCAATCTCACACGCGAGGTCAAAATTAAGATGGTGTAACACATTATAAACTGACTTCTCCACCCTCAGTGTGGCACTCAGCCTTTGAGTGGATTCTGGATGATAGTAACCATATGTGGGCCAAGAAATGTAGAAGGGGCAGGTTAGCCAAAGGACTTTTGTGGATAGAAATATGCTCACATTCCAGCTATCTCTGCTCTGTGGCTCCTGGGGAACATCACAAACCCAGTGAAATTCCCAAGTATGGAGGTGTTTTTTTTTTTTTTTTTTTTAACCAAAATGGTGGTAGTAATCCACCTCTTAACATTTTGAATGGCAATTCCTACAAACTGATTTTTATTTTAAATGTTGGAGCCCTCTCATCTACCCAAGTAATTCTACAGAAGATTATATAAACAAAAAAAGAAAGTGCTCTTAATTTTTAAAAATTATCTTATAAATTATATGCCACAGAAGCACAGAAGTATCTCTAAATTTTCACTAAAACTTATTAACATGCAAATGTGTATAAGTTTAATTATCTTACCTTCTTTTAGGAAAAATTCTTAATTCCTGAGGTACATGTGTTCAGTCCAACTTGTTATTGTAAGTACCTGGACACTTTAAATACCCTATAAAAATAAACAAGTTTATTCTTAACATTTAATATAAATCAAACAATTACCAATCAATTAATATATGCTCCACTTAATTAAAAGTCAGTTTAAATTTCTTCAAACAACCCCTCTGTCTTGTGTGGGATAATGTAATGTATGAAGGTAAAGGAATTATGGAAAGCAGGTACTGAATTTTGCAAACATTTTACTCTGGCTCATCCAAACAAATGACAATTTGTAATCACTAATCGGATTTGATGTACTTTGAAATAATTCATTATTTAGGCTCTGGCTCTACTAAAGAATAACTGATTTATTTGAGAATTAGGTGAAACACTAACATGTTCTATTGATTTGCCCATAATACTATGATGTCATTAACATTTGTCACCGCTGATGATGAAAGGCTCACACTGACAACCCAGCTAAGCAGTAATTTCATGGCACTGTTAGTAAGTAACCGGATTTCACTTTAACAAAAGCTTTTCCTCTTTTTCTGGATAAAGGAAATATACCGAATATTTAAAGTAAATAGAAATTTTAAATAATTGGATTTTTCAAACGTGAAATTTAAAAAGTGCTTTGGAAAACTTCACTATACTAAAATAGATGCTTTGTAACATTAGTTGTACACATTTCATAGTTGAATAAATAATGTAAACAACTTAGAAAAGAAAATAAAGACAATTCAAAGCTGGGCCAAAGAATTAACATATTTGACAAAAAAGTAAAATTTGGTGAAAACAAAGTATGCAATGGAGGTTCATTAGCTAACTTATTAGCCTTACTAAACATTTTAATCTTATTAAAGTAAAAAAAAAAGATACAGGTTCTAAAGTAGTGTGTCTTTCCAATTCTTGTTTTTTTCTTACTGTACTATTTTGAGAAATATAGAATATTTCTATATTACCATATATTTAAAAATATAATATATTACCCTATATGCATTTTTCAGCAGACATTTACTGGATCTCTTACGCTGTGATAGGATTAGATAAAATTTAGCGAATTAATTTAAGCAAATAATTTATTCTAGGTGTATAGGTAAGTTATCAGAAAATGGTACCCCAAATGTATATACAAGCATTTAAAACTCAAATGTCAATACCATATCAAACATCCCTTGGATACATGCATCATGAGATGGTGAAATTATTTGAAGCTAGTGATTAGATGAAAAACAAGTTCTTTGTGGGAGAGGAGTCAATCAACTGAGGAACTAGAATTTTTGAAGACTCATCTGGGTGGTTATTAGAATTGCTATAATATATGACAAGAATGGAGTTGAAAAGACTGACAGTAAGCTACAACTAAAATCTTAACAGAAGAGGGGAAGGGGCCAGAGGTTGGTGGAAGATTTCTCTAAGGGGTAGTAGTAGAGTAGCAGAGAATATCTACTGATGTCTGGAGAACATAGCTAGGAAATTTCAGGGAGGAGAAATGGTACTGATCAGGAAGTGGCACTGAGGAGCAAAGAATGTTATACCAATTCCAATCTCAGTAACTTAAGTGGAGTGTGAGAAAAATATCACTTTTTTTTTTTTTTTTAGACAGAGTTTCACCCTTGTCGCCCAGGCTGGAGTGCAATGGCGTCATCTCAGCTCACTGCAACCTCTGCTTTCCGGGTTCAAGCAATTCTCCTGCCTCAGTCTCCCAAGTAGTTGGGATTACAGGCACCTGCTCCCACACCCGGCTAACTTTTGTATTTTCAGTATAGACGGGGTTTCACCATGTTGGTCATGCTGGTCTTGAACTCCTGATCTCAGTTGATCCATCTGCCTCAGCCTTCCAAAGTGCTGGGATTACAGGCATGAGCCACCACACCCAGCCAAAATATCCACCTTTTATAAGTCGGTGTGTGATGCAGAGTCATCAGGCTTCATTTGGGGTGATGATAAGGGGGAAATACACAGAAGTGAAAGATAAAAGGGCCTTTTGTTGAGTTCCAGAGAGGACAGTGAAAGAGTATCCAGAGACAGAGAAAATTAGAGGATGAGGATTAGAGTCTTAGGGATCAGGAATGACTTGGAAGTTCTGAGTTCCTTCTGGTGACTGACATAAAATGAGAAAATGAACATGATGAGTTAAGTCCTAATTTTTCCTAAGCAGACAATAGTGATGAGGCTATGGAGGTCAGTGGGAACAGAGAGATGGTTGTAAGGTCATGTCAGGAGTGTTCAGATTGTTCAGGTGTCCACTTAACTCTTGATGATGGGCTTCTCTGACACAGCAAAGGGTGTGTAAATTCCTCTTGACATCTACTGATGGACCCCTCTAGTCTAGCAATGGGTCAGCCTTTCTCCCTTGATCCTAACTAGCGGTGGCCTGTAGAACATATACCACGCGCAGACTTCTTTCTGACATACTCAGTGTTATGAAATGACAGGATAGAAGGAATCCCAGTATTCATTTGCTTGGGACGGTCAGGGCAGTCTTCTATATTGGTAACATTTTATCTGAGACCTGAAGGAAGACTATGCTGATATTTTGAGGAAGTGTTTACTAAACCGAAGGGGCAATAAATACAAAGACCCTGAGGCAAGATCATGAATTGACTATTCCAGAAACAGCAATAAAGTCAGCAAGCAATGCGTGAGAGAAGGGTGATGAGAGAAATATGAAGATGTAAAATAAAATATGGTTATAACTATAAACCAAATTTAAATGATAAGAAAATCAACTGCAAACATTGGTAAGATCTATAAAATACAATTCTCATTTTAAAAAAGTGTATTGATCAAATCAAAATATTGTAGAAAACATACATAAGCTACGTTCAATATAATTAAAATAACCTAATTACACAATGGAGGTTTTAACTATTTCAGGTATCTCCATTCCTATTGACTCAATGCAGTCATCATGTTGGTCGAAAATATCACTCTAATACACAGAATATTGTTGAATTCAGTCCTGTAATGATAATTAGAATATATATGGCTGACAAGGAAAAAATACACATCTTCTCTAATAATGTAGAGAATCTGCTGGTACAAATGAGTTTTTTACCTATTTTGGGGGAAATTATGTGAGCCAAGCAGGTACCGGCAGATACAAAATAACTGATTCAACCCGACAGTCTTTTTTTTTTTTTTTTTTTTAATTCACACCATATAATTTTTCTTTAAAAAAAATCTGTCAAAAGAGGTTCCATTAGTGTCAGGTCAAGATTCCTAACAAGCATACTTTTCACTTCTTCTAAATGATAGTAACAAGTAAAACTTAAATGGGAAACTCCTACTACAAATAGATGATAATTCTTTATCTTATCTATTTCTTTTCTTTGATCCTGGTGTTCTCCTGGAAATTCTAAAGGAGTTGTGACTTAGACAAATCTGATGTCTGCTAGTTCTTACAGGGCCGTACTAAGAACAAATAAAATATTATGCTTTCTGCTGTACTTGTTTTCATTAAGCCATGATTTACTAGCAGTTAGAACTGCAACTTACACTGGTCATTTTCTTTTAAAATAGCAGAGTGAAATTATTGGAAAGACTTAAAGCTGTCATTAATATTGCTAGAAAAGTTCATTTCAAATTTAAAATATTTCCCTCTCTTTCTCTTCTCTCCATCCATTTCGCCTTCCATTTGTCTCTCATAGAGGGTGGGAAGATGAGGTAATTTGGGCAATAGATACAAATAAATTAAAAATGAATCAATTAAGGTTTAATTTCATTTCACAGGCAGATTTCCAAGTGATTTTTATTAGAATTAGTAGATGTAATATATATATTTTTATATAATGTTATATATTATTATATATTTATTACTATTTAATATATAATAACATATATTATTTTAATATCTAAAACAAGATATATGTATTTTCTAATGGACTTTGAGTTGTTAATGAATATGATGTATACTGAAATTATGTAAATTACGTAATTCAACAAATCTTTCTTTAACATAGCAATTTCATTTTTATTAAATCAATCTGAAAATACTTTTTAAAACATCTATGTTCAGGGCCAAGGTTCAGGTGAAAATTCCATAATTACGGACATACAACAAAAATTAACCTTATTGGCTGAGGTCTGGACTATGTTTTTAGTTGCCTTTCCATACCTTCGCAGTGAAATAGTACAGTGGGCATTCAGGGAGTACAATTAAAAATCTTACGAAATTACTTTTATTGTGAATGTCATCGTATTAGAATTAAACTGTATGTTTTGAAGTAAAATGAAAGGAATGTGTTTCTCTCTCATTTCCTCTTGTTTTTACAGAGTGGAGTCAACAAATAGTCAGTCATCTTCGTTATGTGATGAGGTATAATGATGGCCATACCTATACTGATGTTAGCAAAATGTGAAGGTAAGAAAATCTAAATCAGATTACAGGGATTTTTGTGCTCCCAAGTCTATGAAGATAAGATTAAAGATGAATGGCAAAGATTTATGGTACACACTTCAGGGGTTGATATATACCTTAGGCACCATAGAACATTGCTCAAGGAAGGCAAGTATACTTTTCCAGTGCCCAGAAAAATATTTAAATTGTGAAAAATGCTTTAGTTTCTATTAAAAAAGATATGCAAATTAAAAACTAAGACATTTTAGCTAAATGTCTATTAATTTACCCCTCAAACTTATCAGTTGCTCAACTGAAACCTTTTCATAGTGAGATTTTCTCCCTTTGCAAGTATCTCCCAATATGCATAATAATTATTTTTTAAGATTACAGACAATTGTAATGAAGTGAAAACACACATTTATAAAATGTTTTCCAATTTTTGCAAACATGAAAACCCATAATGCTTAATATTGGGCAAAGGTAAATTTTCATATATTTAAAATATTATGGGGTGACGCCACCAAAACAAAGAAATGACACCTAGGACATGAGAAGACCTACAACACCTCTGTATCATCTCGTCTTATACTGCCTCTGACGCAGGCTGAAAATAAACGTAATTGGTCTTGAATGTATATGGCATCTATCTTTTAAGTAAGCAACTTCTAAACCTAATTTGTTGTTGATGGTCTCTAGAGTAGAAATCTGAAACTCAAAATTTC